AGCTGGCCATCGACGAGGGTAATCCCTACCCTCTTGGCTCAGCTGCTCTGCAACAGGAGTTCTATGTTGATGATCTCATCTCTGGCGGCAACTCGGTCGCAGAGGTCATGGAAAAGATGCGCCAAACTTCAAGTCTACTGTCTTGCGGTAACTTTAAGCTTAGAAAATGGTGCTCGAGTAACCAGGAGGTGCTTGATGGAATTCCGGAGGACGACGTGGAGAAATTTCTACGGTTTCATGATGGAAGCGACATTACCAAAACTCTTGGTTTAGCTTGGGACCCTGCGTCGGATCAGCTGCTGTTTGCCTTGTCCGCGCTGGACTCGAATTCAAGGCCCTCCAAGCGGTCGGTTTTGTCAACTATTGCGCGTTTCTACGACCCTCTTGGATTGATTAATCCTGTTATTGTCAGGTGCAAGATCTTTCTTCAGCAGCTTTGGAGAGAACATTTGGACTGGGATGAAAGCCTACCGACAGCGCTGCACTCAACTTGGATTGACCTGAGAAACAGTTTGGCAAGCATCTCTCGCATTTCCTTTCCTCGCGTTGTCCATAATTCCGGCACAATTGTAGAGGTTCATGGATTTTGTGATGCCAGCATGGAAGCATATGGTGCTTGCATATATGTCGTGTCCAGGCAAGGGGAGTCGTCGAGCAATGTTTTGTGCTCAAAGTCTCGAGTGGCGCCACTAAAATCATTGTCGATTCCAAAGCTGGAATTGAAAGGAGCCCATTTGCTTGCGAAGGTTATGCGCAACTTAAAGGAGACGGGAATTTTCCCAGGTCAGTTTTACTGCTGGTCGGATTCGTCTACGGCGTTATCTTGGATTCGGGATGAGCCAGCCAAATTTCAGGTTTTCGTGGCAAATCGAGTGGCAACAATTCAGGAGTTGACGCAAGGCATGGAATGGCGCTATGTTCCCACATTGTTGAATCCCGCTGATATCCTCTCCAGAGGCTCGCTTCCCAGCTACCTCATCCAGTCAGAGCTGTGGTTTCACGGCCCCTCGTTTTGTTAGGTTCTAAGGATGAGTGGCCTGTATCTGCCGTTTCTGAAACTCCGACCATTGAGCTTCGCAAGCGTGTATTGCTGATCGCGTCTCCACATGCCGATCTCACGTCCGGATGCAAATTTGCTAATTCTTTCTTTGGCATGCAGCGCACATTCGCCTACATGCATAAATTCGTTCATCGTCTTAGGCATCCTGGACTCACGGTTTCTGACATACAGCAAGGAACGCATCTTCTTGTTCGACACGTTCAGCTGGCAAGTTTGTGGTCGGACATAAAGGAGATTAGACGCAATGGGCAAGTCAGGAAGTCTAGCTCCATCAGTTCGCTATCTCCGTTCATCGATCCGTCGGGTTTACTTCGAGTTGGAGGTCGTCTCGGCAACTCATCGCTACCGTTTAATGCTCAGCACCCGCTTATTTTGCCCAAGGGACATCCCGTAACATCTGCAATGATAAGCTATTATCATCAACGGAACCTCCATGCCGGACCTCGCGCCTTGCTTGCTAAAATTCGATTAGAATATTGGCCTATTGGAGGAATCAAGGCCGTCTCGAAAGCGGTTAGCAAGTGTGTAAGATGCTTCAGAACGAGGCCGCGCATGGTTGAGCACATTATGGGGGACTTGCCTAAGGAGCGTCTGGAAGGATCGCGGGCCTTCGAAGTAACTGGAGTGGACTATTGTGGACCCTTTTTCTACCGATCAGAAATCCGCACGAGGCCTCCGATCAAGTGCTACATAAGCGTGTTTATTTGCTTCACATCTAAGGCCATACACATGGAGCTTGTTAAAGATCTGACCACCGCATCGTTCCTAGGCGCACTGAAACGTTTTACGTCCACTCGAGGAAGGCCAAGCCATATTTGGTCGGACAATGCTACAAATTTCGTTGGCGCTAAGAATGAGCTTCTGGAGCTGAAGAAGCTTTTCCTGAGCGACTCGCACATGAAAGAAGTCCATGAATCCTGCTTGGCTGACACCATCGGCTGGCATTTCATCCCCCCGCGCTCTCCGCACTTTGGCGGTTTGTGGGAAGCGGCCGTGAAGTCCGCAAAGTATCACCTGTACCGCTCAGTTGGGCCATCCATCCTTAGCTTCGACGAGCTCCGCACCTTGATCTGCCAGATCGCGGCAATTGTTAATTCTCGCCCTTTGCTCTCGCTTTCAGAAAATCCTGATGACTTGGATGTGTTGACGCCTGCTCATCTGCTTTTGGGAGGCCCGCATCAGTAAATTCTCGAGCCTGACCTAACGAAGCTCAACTACAACCGTCTGGATGGTTGGAAGCGGGTCACTCAACTGCAGCAGACATTCTGGAAGCGTTGGCGCGAAGAGTATCTGACTCTTTTGCAAGAGCGCTCGAAGTGGCGTACGCCTGCGAAAAACCTCTGCGTCAACGATGTCGTCTTGGTGAAGGATGAGAATCTTCCTCCAATGCGTTGGCCACTGGCTAGAGTGGTCGACGTCGTCAAAGGCAAGGATGGAGTAGGCCGCCTGGCTGATTTGAAGACGGCTTCAGGAACCATCAGGAGGGCCGTTACTCGGCTGTGTTTGCTGCCCCTTGAGAAGTCAGTTGAAAGGCGAGCTTCCAACGGGGGAGTATGTTCGGGCCAGCGGCTACTTAAGCGTCTATCACAATATTAAATGTAGCTGTAACTAGTATAAGAGTATCGAAACCTAAGCTTATGTATGTCCCCAGCGTTCGGCAGTGCTGCTGCGCTCTCCCTGTTAAAGGGCGCTCTGCACCTGCTGCGTCGGCTCTGCATTGATCGGCCATCGTGGCCCAAGTAGTTCTATGCTAATCTCTCGCCGCATAGGTTGCATACTGAACCCCCGCTTGTGAACATTTATCTGTCTGGGCAAAAGAGCGAGCAATTGGCTTCAGCTAGCCGCCGGTCTAAATAAACATTATAACGTTTAAATCAAAGTCTTTAACTGATTTGGATAAATATAGGTGCCAAAAAAGCTTGGCATCTCAAACAATGCAAATGAATGGCCAAAGGGAAAGTTGTTTAACGAGATTCAGGTTCATGATGATCAGGTGACAGTAGAATATATACACGTCACTACAATTATAAATGATGCCAATATTTTGCCAGATCCTGTACGATTTTCCAACTGGATGAGGTGTTTGAGAACAACTGCATAGGTCTTACGGTACATAAATAATTTAAAGCCTTTAAAATACAAGCGGACTAACAGCGAGCTGACTGGGACAGATATTGACAGTGCAGAGTATTTGATTTTTAAAAATGTTCAACGACAGAGCTATGGGACAGAGATTGACTGTCTCTTGGCCAATACACCAATAGCAAACACGAGCAAATTAAAAACATTACCAATATTTATCTCAGAGAATGGATTACTCAGACTCAAAGGACGGTTAGATAATGTTAGTGAAAGACAACCAAGTTACGATTCTAATTATTCAATTTTATCATTTTAAAAATTGTCACATCGGTACAGAAACAGTGATAGCTAATCTCCGACAAAGATTTTGGATAACCAACTGTCGAAATACAGTTAAAAAGGTAATTCGTAATTGCCAACTTTGTAAAAATAAGAGAGCCCTTCCACAGGTGCCAAGAATGGGCCAACTGCCTGCATGTAGAGTGACGCCGACGAACGACCTTTTTTAAAAATAGGAATTGATTATTTTGGTCCCATTGAAGTTCTTGTCAATCGCAGCCATGTTAAACGATATGGAGTTATATTTACTTGTATGACTACTCGTGCAGTTCATCTCGAGATAGCTGAGGACTTATCAAGTAATGCTTTTATGCATGTCTCCCGACAATTTGCAGGTCGACGCGGTATCCCCGAGGAAATATATTCAGACAATGGTACAAATTTTACCAAAGCGAGCAAAGACATTAACATACTGACATCGCAATGGCCAGCTGATGAACTGACACAGTTTTCTGCCTCAAAAAGATGCAGATGGGTTTTTAACCCTCCATTAAGTCCCCACATGGGAGGAGCTTGGGAGAGACTTATTCAATCTACCAAAAAATATCTTTCCTTTATTTTAAAAGAACGTTATCCCAAAGAGTATGTTTTGAGGACTTTATTTTGCGAAATAGAATTTATCATGAATAGTAGACCACTTTTATTAATACCAGCAGATTCAATTGAATCAGCACCCTTGACGCCAAACAATATTTTGATAGGTCCCAATTTAAGGGGTTCATTTTATGCTAATGTTTCTGACTCTGATATAATATGTTTAAACAACTGGAAAGCGTCGCAACGATTAGCAGACGTATTCTGGCAGAAATGGAAAAAAGATTACAGACAGTATCTTTTAAGCAGCCCAAAATGGTCAAAAGATCAAGACATTATACAAGAAGGTGACATTGTATTACTTATGGATTCTGACTTGCCAAGAAATTGTTGGCCAAAAGGCATAGTGACTAAGATATATCCATCTATTGATGGTCGTATAAGAATTGTAGACATTAAGACAAAAACTGGCATTTATAAGAGATCTGTTGTAAAACTAATTAAGCTTCATGTATACAAAAAATTAAAGTATTGCCGATAGCAATACTTAGGAGGAGAATGTTGAAAAAGTTATTATTTTCGTTTAGTCTCACAATCGATATTTTACTTTATATAATGAATATTGTTTAACCGATAGTTTATGGCGATAACTGAATATCGATGGGTGTATGATAACTTAACTTAAGAAAAGAAGAAGAAGAACACGCGGAAGAAAAAGAAATATATTTAAAGTTTGAAAATTGTAAAAGAAATCTGAAATAAACGCGCAAATGCGCAACGGAATGGACAATCAAAGGAAGTGTGACGGATAGCCAATCCAGCGTCTTTCGAGCCGGATAATACAGTTAACATTCCACAGGTATAACAACATGGGGAATATACTTTGCACCCCCACCAGGTAGCTGGGAAGCTGGCCGGAATTCCTCAATCCCCTTATCGGAAGTAAGAAAATAATTGAGGGCATTGTTAAGCTTCGTAAGGCCATAAATGCCCTGGAGGCACTGCCGATACTGAAAGAGCTTTCATTGACGTATGAACAAGCTCCCGAGACAGAAATTACCCCTTGAGTTTTGCAACATTCCGTTGCCTCCACCACCGTCATCGCATTAGTCCAGGGCAGAGTCTTGAGCTTGCCAGTGCGATCGGACCAGTAGTTCACTTTACTACCATCAGAGTCGGTCTTATAATATCCGAAAGCGACACCCACAAGCGCGTCCAGATAATTAATAGACCGATAACGGCCATTGAGGTACTCTACAATGAGGTTTTATTTTAGCTATAAAATGTCATAAGCATTCAATTGGGGAACTCACTGCCTAGGTAAAATTTTTCTAGACTTAGAGTAATGTGCAGCCCTTGCCCAAGGCCTTGTTGTGTCCAAATGACGACGCATAGACATTAAACAAAAAGTTTGGCCTATTCCGCTTGACCGCGATCATCTAATGGAGAGAGACCGAAAGAGAGAGGAAGGTTAGAGATGAATGGAAATGCATGAGACTTACCTCTCGATTGTTCTTATTCAAACGCATCGTTTCCAGCAGGATGCGCAGCGGGTCTATGTTGGCCGCCTCCATGTTCGTTTTGTCGGGCATCAATTCCTCATATTTGTTGTACGAGGCCCTCTGCGTAGGCTTGCAGAGGCGTAACACTCGCGGTGATGTCTTTAGCAGCTGCTCGTAGCTGATCGTCGGGATCAGGTATTCGGCGAGCACGGGATCGGCACGAAAATTCTCGGGCGCTTGTTCATACGTCAATGAGAGCTCTTTCAGTATCGGCAGTGCCTCCAGGGCATTTATGGCCTTACGAAGCTTAACAATGCCCTCAATTATTTTCTTACTTCCGATAAGGGGATTGAGGAATTCCGGCCAGCTTCCCAGCTGCCTGGTGGGGGTGCAAAACAGCTCCAGGGTGGCCTTAATTTCGGGAATCAGTTCCACATCCCGATAGTGGCAGATATGCAGAAGATTCTTGTGCGAGGCACAGGTTTGCTCGCCCTTTGACCACATTTGCAGCAGCACAGCCGCCGACTTGTCCGTGTACCACTCAATGACCGCCTTGCGGATGGTGCGACTTAATGGTTTTTAGCGCCCTCGCAAATCCTGCACCTGATTCACGAGCCCCGTGAATATGAACAGTTCCGTGTCGGTACGCACCAGCCGAGGGAAATATTTGCGAAATAACGCCCTCTCCAGCTGATTGGTGCACGTCGACAGGTAAACGGCCACCACCAACATCGCCTCATCGCGCCGTGGCAAGTAATCGTCGTTGTTTATTAGAACATCGACCGGGCAGTCCGCCAGCTGCTGTGCACCCACCGTGTCACAGAGGAGGCGCAGCTCTTCGTACTTTTCCTTAGTCAACTTTTCCATCGTCGATACCTAATAATCGTCGCAGCTTTTCAATGTCCGTGATGCGTGTGTCGGCGGCAACCTCTTCTGCTGATGCTGCAGCAGGCACATGTTTGCATGGGAATTTATGCCGTTTAGTGTACATTGGCGGTGCCATAATTAAGAAGGTACTCACGTGCGTCTAACTTTGGCTTCTTCATGGGCGATGTGTGCATCAAATTTTCTTGTGCTGAACTCCCGCAAGTGTGATTTTAGTGTGATGGCCTGCATAAAAAAGTACTCAGTACTTACGTTCCAGTGCGGAGTCGTCTAGTTGCTGCTCAACATTGGGCTCTGCCATCAAACCGTTCGATGTAGCTACCCAACATTCGAAATTATGTTTAGAAATTGGTGACGGCAACACTGAAAATGATACTCACATGCCATCGGTGTCTCTTCTGGCTTAGCTTCTAGCTTGGGCTTCTTCATGGGCGATGTGTGCATCAAAGTGCGTCTTCGGCTTTGGGCTCCTCTACGCGCGTTGTATTCATCAAACCGTTCACTGAAGCTGTGTGGCAAACGAGGCAAGAAGATGTGTATAAAATATATGTGATTAGTTTATTGTGCTGTGGGGACAGGATGAATGAAAAAGGTACTCACATGATACAAGGGTCTCGCCTACTTCCTCATCGTTTTTGAGCTCCTCCATCGGCGTTTCGGTCTCCATGGAAACCAGATCCGATGCTACTCTCCCGCGAGCGTCGCAAGGCAGGCACATGTTCGTGTGTGTGCGTGCGTGTGTGTGTGTGTGTTTGTTTTTTTTTAATTCCTTAACTCATTTATTTTCTATTAAATTACGCATATAGAGAATATTAACTACTAGCTTAATGATTATTATATATTAGATAATAGTCTAGATATTATTCGCCGCCAGGATACGTGGGGCGACAGAGGAGGTACCGTGTCCCTGCGGGACGGCCGCGAAGCATTGCTTCGCAGGGACGGTGGTTCCTCCTAAACTGCCTCCCTTCTAAGGCGCTCGCATCTCCGGAGCTCTTTCAATGCGGCGGCAGCAAAATTGGTTACTGCTGTCCATATCTAATATCTTCGTGCCCGAATCTAAATAAATACTGGCCGAAGCAGCCGTGTCCGCTGAGGAGTTGCGTGGTGTAAAAGGCTAGCTTAAGTACAAAGGAAGAAGCGGATTGTGAGGCTCATTTCGTAAGCCACTTTTCACGGTTGCCATCAGGGGAGTACTCTGTTCGACTGCCTTTAAAGCATGATGCTGATCACTTGGGTCCTATACTCAGTCCTATACTTAGGCGTATCGACGATTTCTCAGCTTGGAGCGAAAACTGGATCGTAATCCCGCGCTCAAGGAGCGTTACTCAGCTTTTATGAAGGAGTACACTGATTTAAAGCATATGTCCAAAGTCCATCCTGACTCACGTAGCCTCTGCAAGTATTTTCTGCCTCATCACTGCGTTTTAAAGGAGGATAGTACCACGACAAAGCTCCGTGTCGTTTTCGATGGCTCTGCAGCTACATCAACTGGATGCTCCTTAAATGATGTGATGATGACAGGTCCTGTTATTCAGCCAGCATTGTTTAACATACTGATCCGGTTCCGCACATATCCCGTCGCTCTCACTGGTGACATTTGTAAAATGTACCGCTGCGTAAAGGTATCTCCGCCCGACAATTTTCTCCAGTGCATCCTATGGCGAGATTCCATCCAGTCCGAGGTTCAGGTCTACACATTAGACACCGTCACATACGGTACGAGGGCTGCATCGTTTTTAGCGGTCCGCGCAATGCACCAGCTGGCCATCGACGAGGGTAATCCCTACCCTCTTGGCTCAGCTGCTCTGCAACAGGAGTTCTATGTTGATGATCTCATCTCTGGCGGCAACTCGGTCGCAGAGGTCATGGAAAAGATGCGCCAAACTTCAAGTCTACTGTCTTGCGGTAACTTTAAGCTTAGAAAATGGTGCTCGAGTAACCAGGAGGTGCTTGATGGAATTCCGGAGGACGACGTGAAGAAATTTCTACGGTTTCATGATGGAAGCGACATTACCAAAACTCTTGGTTTAGCTTGGGACCCTGCGTCGGATCAGCTGCTGTTTGCCTTGTCCGCGCTGGACTCGAATTCAAGGCCCTCCAAGCGGTCGGTTTTGTCAACTATTGCGCGTTTCTACGACCCTCTTGGATTGATTAATCCTGTTATTGTCAGGTGCAAGATCTTTCTTCAGCAGCTTTGGAGAGAACATTTGGACTGGGATGAAAGCCTACCGACAGCGCTGCACTCAACTTGGATTGACCTGAGAAACAGTTTGGCAAGCATCTCTCGCATTTCCTTTCCTCGCGTTGTCCATAATTCCGGCACAATTGTAGAGGTTCATGGATTTTGTGATGCCAGCATGGAAGCATATGGTGCTTGCATATATGTCGTGTCCAGGCAAGGGGAGTCGTCGAGCAATGTTTTGTGCTCAAAGTCTCGAGTGGCGCCACTAAAATCATTGTCGATTCCAAAGCTGGAATTAAAGGAGACGGGAATTTTCCCAGGACAGTTTTACTGCTGGTCGGATTCGTCTACGGCGTTATCTTGGATTCGGGATGAGCCAGCCAAATTTCAGGTTTTCGTGGCAAATCGAGTGGCAACAATTCAGGAGTTGACGCAAGGCATGGAATGGCGCTATGTTCCTACATTGTTGAATCCCGCTGATATCCTCTCCAGAGGCTCGCTTCCCAGCTACCTCATCCAGTCAGAGCTGTGGTTTCACGGCCCCTCGTTTTGTTAGGTTCTAAGGATGAGTGGCCTGTATCTGCCGTTTCTGAAACTCCGACCATTGAGCTTCGCAAGCGTGTATTGCTGATCGCGTCTCCACATGCCGATCTCACGTCCGGATGCAAATTTGCTAATTCTTTCTTTGGCATGCAGCGCACATTCGCCTACATGCATAAATTCGTTCATCGTCTTAGGCATCCTGGACTCACGGTTTCTGACATACAGCAAGGAACGCATCTTCTTGTTCGACACGTTCAGCTGGCAAGTTTGTGGTCGGACATAAAGGAGATTAGACGCAATGGGCAAGTCAGGAAGTCTAGCTCCATCAGTTCGCTATCTCCGTTCATCGATCCGTCGGGTTTACTTCGAGTTGGAGGTCGTCTCGGCAACTCATCGCTCCCGTTTAATGCTCAGCACCCGCTTATTTTGCCCAAGGGACATCCCGTAACATCTGCAATGATAAGCTATTATCATCAACGGAACCTCCATGCCGGACCTCGCGCCTTGCTTGCTAAAATTCGATTAGAATATTGGCCTATTGGAGGAATCAAAGCCGTCTCGAAAGCGGTTAGCAAGTGTGTAAGATGCTTCAGAACGAGGCCGCGCATGGTTGAGCACATTATGGGGGACTTGCCTAAGGAGCGTCTGGAAGGATCGCGGGCCTTCGAAGTAACTGGAGTGGACTATTGTGGACCCTTTTTCTACCGATCAGAAATCCGCACGAGGCCTCCGATCAAGTGCTACATAAGCGTGTTTATTTGCTTCACATCTAAGGCCATACACATGGAGCTTGTTAAAGATCTGACCACCGCATCGTTCCTAGGCGCACTGAAACGTTTTACGTCCACTCGAGGAAGGCCAAGCCATATTTGGTCGGACAATGCTACAAATTTCGTTGGCGCTAAGAATGAGCTTCTGGAGCTGAAGAAGCTTTTCCTGAGCGACTCGCACATGAAAGAAGTCCATGAATCCTGCTTGGCTGACACCATCGGCTGGCATTTCATCCCCCCGCACTCTCCGCACTTTGGCGGATTGTGGGAAGCGGCCGTGAAGTCCGCAAAGTATCACCTGTACCGCTCAGTTGGGCCATCCATCCTTAGCTTCAACGAGCTCCGCACCTTGATCTGCCAGATCGCGGCAATTGTTAATTCTCGCCCTTTGCTCTCGCTTTCAGAAAATCCTGATGACTTGGATGTGTTGACGCCTGCTCATCTGCTTTTGGGAGGCCCGCATCAGTCAATTCTCGAGCCTGACCTAACGAAGCTCAACTACAACCGTCTGGATGGTTGGAAGCGGGTCACTCAACTGCAGCAGACATTCTGGAAGCGTTGGCGCGAAGAGTATCTGACTCTTTTGCAAGAGCGCTCGAAGTGGCGTACGCCTGCGAAAAACCTCTGCGTCAACGATGTCGTCTTGGTGAAGGATGAGAATCTTCCTCCAATGCGTTGGCCACTGGCTAGAGTGGTCGACGTCGTCAAAGGCAAGGATGGAGTAGGCCGCCTGGCTGATTTGAAGACGGCTTCAGGAACCATCAGGAGGGCCGTTACTCGGCTGTGTTTGCTGCCCTTGAGAAGTCAGTTGAAAGGCGAGCTTCCAACGGGGGGAGTATGTTCGGGCCAGCGGCTACTTAAGCGTCTATCACAATATTAAATGTAGCTGTAACTAGTATAAGAGTATCGAAACCTAAGCTTATGTATGTCCCCAGCGTTCGGCAGTGCTGCTGCGCTCTCCCTGTTAAAGGGCGCTCTGCACCTGCTGCGTCGGCTCTTGCATTGATCGGCCATCGTGGCCCAAGTAGTTCTATGCTAATCTCTCGCCGCATAGGTTGCATACTGAACCCCCGCTTGTGAACATTTATCTGTCTGGGCAAAAGAGCGAGCAATTGGCTTCAGCTAGCCGCCGGTCTAAATAAACATTATAACGTTTAAATCAAAGTCTTTAACTGATTTGGATAAATATAGGTGCCAAAAAAGCTTGGCATCTCAAACAATGCAAATGAATGGCCAAAGGGAAAGTTGTTTAACGAGATTCAGGTTCATGATGATCAGGTGACAGTAGAATATATACACGTCACTACAATTATAAATGATGCCAATATTTTGCCAGATCCTGTACGATTTTCCAACTGGATGAGGTGTTTGAGAACAACTGCATAGGTCTTACGGTACATAAATAATTTAAAGCCTTTAAAATACAAGCGGACTAACAGCGAGCTGACTGGGACAGATATTGACAGTGCAGAGTATTTGATTTTTAAAAATGTTCAACGACAGAGCTATGGGACAGAGATTGACTGTCTCTTGGCCAATACACCAATAGCAAACACGAGCAAATTAAAAACATTACCAATATTTATCTCAGAGAATGGATTACTCAGACTCAAAGGAGGGTGATTAGATAATGTTAGCGAAAGACAACCAAGTTACGATTCTAATTATTCAATTTTATCATTTTAAAAATTGTCACATCGGTACAGAAACAGTGATAGCTAATCTCCGACAAAGATTTTGGATAACCAACTGTCGAAATACAGTTAAAAAGGTAATTCGTAATTGCCAACTTTGTAAAAATAAGAGAGCCCTTCCACAGGTGCCAAGAATGGGCCAACTGCCTGCATGTAGAGTGACGCCGACGGAACGACCTTTTTTAAAAATAGGAATTGATTATTTTGGTCCCATTGAAGTTCTTGTCAATCGCAGCCATGTTAAACGATATGGAGTTATATTTACTTGTATGACTACTCGTGCAGTTCATCTCGAGATAGCTGAGGACTTATCAAGTAATGCTTTTATGCATGTCTTCCGACAATTTGCAGGTCGACGCGGTATCCCCGAGGAAATATATTCAGACAATGGTACAAATTTTACCAAAGCGAGCAAAGACATTAACATACTGACATCGCAATGGCCAGCTGATGAACTGACACAGTTTTCTGCCTCAAAAAGATGCAGATGGGTTTTTAACCCTCCATTAAGTCCCCACATGGAAGGAGCTTGGGAGAGACTTATTCAATCTACCAAAAAATATCTTTCCTTTATTTTAAAAGAACGTTATCCCAAAGAGTATGTTTTGAGGACTTTATTTTGCGAAATAGAATTTATCATGAATAGTAGACCACTTTTATTAATACCAGCAGATTCAATTGAATCAGCACCCTTGACGCCAAACAATATTTTGATAGGTCCCAATTTAAGGGGTTCATTTTATGCTAAGGTTTCTGACTCTGATATAATATGTTTAAACAACTGGAAAGCGTCGCAACGATTAGCAGACGTATTCTGGCAGAAATGGAAAAAAGATTACAGACAGTATCTTTTAAGCAGCCCAAAATGGTCAAAAGATCAAGACATTATACAAGAAGGTGACATTGTATTACTTATGGATTCTGACTTGCCAAGAAATTGTTGGCCAAAAGGCATAGTGACTAAGATATATCCATCTATTGATGGTCGTATAAGAATTGTAGACATTAAGACAAAAACTGGCATTTATAAGAGATCTGTTGTAAAACTAATTAAGCTTCATGTATACAAAAAATTAAAGTATTGCCGATAGCAATACTTAGGAGGAGAATGTTGAAAAAGTTATTATTTTAGTTTAGTCTCACAATCGATATTTTACTTTATATAATGAATATTGTTTAACCGATAGTTTATGGCGATAACTGAATATCGATGGGTGTGTATGATCACTTAACTTAAGAAAAGAAGAAGAAGAACACGCGGAAGAAAAAGAAATATATTTAAAGTTTGAAAATTGTAAAAGAAATCTGAAATAAACGCGCAAATGCGCAACGGAATGGACAATCAAAGGAAGTGTGACGGATAGCCAATCCAGCGTCTTTCGAGCCGGATAATACAGTTAACATTCCACAGGTATAACAACATGGGGAATATACTTTGCACCCCCACCAGGTAGCTGGGAAGCTGGCCGGAATTCCTCAATCCCCTTATCGGAAGTAAGAAAATAATTGAGGGCATTGTTAAGCTTCGTAAGGCCATAAATGCCCTGGAGGCACTGCCGATACTGAAAGAGCTCTCATTGACGTATGAACAAGCTCCCGAGAATTTTCGTGCCGATCCCGTGCTCGCCGAATACCTGATCCCGACGATCAGCTACGAGCAGCTGCTAAAGACATCACCGCGAGTGTTACGTCTCGAGTAAGTAAATCGCTCGCTTAGAAGTGCACACATTGACTTACTTGGCGTTACACTTTCGCTCCTCGCGATACAATTTCAGGAGGTTGGATAAGGTATTTGAGCTGTTGAAGGGGTTACCTCGTGTGGCGGCCGGTACCACAATTAAGAATACATCATACGTTTTTGTATCCTCCATGGCCTTATTTAATATTTGGGTTAGCACCTGTTTAGTTTTCTGTACCTGTAATAGATTTATTGTTCAGCCTATGGCTTGGGCATGGGCACTGGACAGAAATTACCCCTTGAGTTTTGCAACATTCCGTTGCCTCCACCACCGTCATCGCATTAGTCCAGGGCAGAGTCTTGAGCTTGCCAGTGCGATCGGACCAGTAGTTCACTTTACTACCATCAGAGTCGGTCTTATAATATCCGAAAGCGACACCCACAAGCGCGTCCAGATAATTAATAGACCGATAACGGTCATTGAGGTACTCTACAATGAGGTTTTATTTTAGCTATAAAATGTCATAAGCATTCAATTGGGGAACTCACTGCCTAGGTAAAATTTTTCTAGACTTAGAGTAATGTGCAGCCGCTTGCCCAAGGCCTTGTTGTGTCCAAATGACGACGCATAGACATTAAACAAAAAGTTTGGCCTATTCCGCTTGACCGCGATCATCTAATGGAGAGAGACCGAAAGAGAGAGGAAGGTTAGAGATGAATGGAAATGCATGAGACTTACCTCTCGATTGTTCTTATTCAAACGCATCGTTTACAGCAGGATGCGCAGCGGGTCTATGTTGGCCGCCTCCATGTTCGTTTTGTCGGGCAACAATTCCTCATATTTGTTGTACGAGGCCCTCTGCGTACGCTTGCAGAGGCGTAACACTCGCGGTGATGTCTTTAGCAGCTGCTCGTAGCTGATCGTCGGGATCAGGTATTCGGCGAGCACGGGATCGGCACGAAAATTCTCGGGCGCTTGTTCATACGTCAATGAGAGCTCTTTCAGTATCGGCAGTGCCTCCAGGGCATTTATGGCCTTACGAAGCTTAACAATGCCCTCAATTATTTTCTTACTTCCGATAAGGGGATTGAGGAATTCCGGCCAGTTTCCCAGCTGCCTGGTGGGGGTGCAAAACAGCTCCAGGGTGGCCTTAATTTCGGGAATCAGTTCCACATCCCGATAGTGGCAGATATGCAGCAGATTCTTGTGCGAGGCACAGATTTGCTCGCCCTTTGACCACATTTGCAGCAGCACAGCCGCCGACTTGTCCGTGTACCACTCAATGACCGCCTTGCGGATGGTGCGACTTAATGGGGTTTTGCGCCCTCGCAAATCCTGCACCTGATTCACGAGCCCCGTGAATATGAACAGTTCCGTGTCGGTACGCACCAGCCGAGGGAAATATTTGCGAAATAACGCCCTCTCCAGCTGATTGGTGCACGTCGACAGGTAAACGGCCACCACCAACATCGCCTCATCGCGCCGTGGCAAGTAATCGTCGTTGTTTATTAGAACATCGACCAGGCAGTCCGCCAGCTGCTGTGCACCCACCGTGTCACAGAGGAGGCGCAGCTCTTCGTACTTTTCCTTAGTCAACTTTTCCATCGTCGATACCTAATAATCGTCGCAGCTTTTCAATGTCCGTGATGCGTGTGGCGGCGGCAACCTCTTCTGCTGATGCTGCAGCAGGCACATGTTTGCATGGGAATTTATGCCGTTTAGTGTACATTGGCGGCGCCATAATTAAGAAGGTACTCACGTGCGTCTAACTTTGGCTTCTTCATGGGCGATGTGTGCATCAAATTTTCTTGTGCTGAACTCCCGCAAGCAGCATTTAGGAATGGAAATTATGTTTAGTTTAGTGTGATGGCCTGCATAAAAAAGTACTCAGTACTTACGTTCCAGTGCGGAGTCGTCTAGTTGCTGCTCAACATTAGGCTCTGCCATCAAACCGTTCGATGTAGCTACCCAACATTCGAAATTATGTTTAGAAATTGGTGACGGCAACACTGAAAATGATACTCACATGCCATCGGTGTCTCTTCTGGCTTAGCTTCTAGCTTTGGCTTCTTCATGGGCGATGTGTGCATCAAAGTGCGTCTTCGGCTTTGGGCTCCTCTACGCGCGTTGTATCCATCAAACCGTTCACTGAAGCTGTGTGGCAAACGAGGCAAGCAGATGTGTATAAAATATATGTGATTAGTTTATTGTGCTGTGGGGACAGGATGAATGAAAAAGGTACTCACATGATACAAGGGTCTCGCCTACTTCTTCATCGTTTTTGAGCTCCTCCATCGGCGTTTCGGTCTCCATGCAAACCAGATCCGATGCTACTCTCCCGCGAGCGTCGCAAGGCAGGCACATGTTCGTGTGTGTGAGTGTGTGTGCGTGCGTGTGCGTGTGTGTATGTGTTTGTTTTTTTTTAATTCCTTAACTCATTTATTTTCTTTTAAATTACGCATATAGAGAATATTAACTACTAGCTTAATGATTATTATATATTAGATTATAGTCTAGATATTATTCGCCGCCAGGATACGTGGGGCGACAGAGGAGGTAACGTGTCCCTGCGGGACGGCCGCGAAGCATTGCTTCGCAGGGACGGTGGTTCCTCCTAAACTGCCTCCCTTCTAAGGCGCTCGCATCTCCGGAGCTCTTTCAATGCGGCGGCAGCAAAATTGGTTACTGCTGTCCATATCTAATATCTTCGTGCCCGAATCTAAATAAATTCTGGCCGAAGCAGCCGTGTCCGCTGAGGAGTTGCGTGGTGTAAAAATTCACCGCACCGTGTCCCCTGTTGGTCCAGCTTCTCACATCTGGGATGAGACGGTGGGTCCACCGGCCGTTTTTGGAGCTGTCCCAGCGGCTTTGCCACACGCTGAGGCTCTCCTCTCTTGCCTGCTCTCGCGCCGCCTTCCGTTCGGCTCCTGCCCGGATGGCCAGAGCTACATTCTTCTCCTCGACGACTAAGAGATCGATGGGGAGAACTCCTGCTATGACCAGCGCGGCGTCGTCTGATATGGTGCGGAAGCCGCAAAGCCGATGTATCGATTTTACGCCCCTCGCGTAGCTGGCGATTTTGATGGCGTCCGCCCACACAGCTGCAGAGTATGTTATGGCTGAGCGAACTATGCTGGTCAGCAAAAGCCTTCTCTCCTGCTTCGGCCCACGGGTGTTTAGTAGCAGGCGAAACAGGGCTCGGCTTGTATTGGCTGCTTTCTCCTGTACGAAACTCAGGTGCTCCCGGAAGCAGAGCCTGGTGTCTATCATCACGCCTAGGTAGCGGATGGCTCGCTTCGACGCTATAGTCTGGTCTCCTACTCGGTCTCCACCGTTGATCGAGTGCGGACCAACACTGCCTCCGTTTTTTGAGCCGCTAGCTCCAGCCCCACAGACAGAAGCCAGTCTGCTATAGTCTGTATTGCCGTGTTGCAGGTTTCTTCTGCCGCTTGCAGGTGTTTGGCCACCACTGAAAGGGCTACGTCGTCCGCGTAGCACGTGAGCTGTCAACCGGTTGGTAGGGTCAGCCGCATAACTCCATCGTACGCTATATTCCACATAGTAGCGGGCCCAACACAGAGCCTTGGGGAACGCCTGCCGAAATACGGTGGGATTGCATGCCAGCCGCCGTGTCGAAGTTCAGCGTTCTTCCGTCAAAGTAACTGCCTACAATCGACTGCAGATATGGAGGGATGCCCATCAGTCTCAGTGAGTTGACAATGCAGTCCCAGTTCGCAGAGTTGAAGGCGTTCTTAACGTCCAGGGTGACGATTAGGCAGTATTCCTTCTTACCGCCATTCCATCTCGTACCCTCTACCGCCTTGGCTGCGATCCGGACAACTCTGCCGATGGCATCCACTGTCGAGCTGCCCTTTCGGAAGCCGAACTGGTTGGCAGATAGCCCACCGGCTTCGTCCACCGCCCTCTCCATCCGTGTGCAGATTATCTGCTCCATCGTCTTCCCCAATGAGTCGATCAGACATATCGGGCGAAATGAGGAGGGGTCCTCTGGCGGCTTACCTGGTTTTGGTAAGAGCACAAGGTGCTGTGTCTTCCATTGAGAAGGAAACAGTCCTTCTTGGAGGCACTTAGTGAACGCCGTCGCGAACTCTTGCGGCTTATGCGAGACAGCTAGCTTGACTGCCCTGCTGGGGATTCCATCGGGACCTGGGGCCTTATTTGACTTCAACCTGCGGGCCGCTGTGATAGCCTCGTCTGCCGTTACCGGTTCCACCTCGTATGGGTGCTGAAGCGCTTCGTCGTTTTGGGGCAGGTTATGCATCCTAGTTGGAAACAACGCCTCCACGATGGCTGAGAGTTGGTGCGGGTCAGAGGGAGCTGCATTGTTGGTGTGCAGCCTCTTCATCACCGTCTTGTAGGCTCTTCCCCACGGGTCGTGCTCTGCTGAGTCGCAGAGTTGCAGAAAGCACTCTAGTTTGCTCATCTTGATGGAGGTCTTTAGTACCTTCCTAGCAGCGCGGTAAGCCATGTGAAGACTCGGCCAGTCGCGATCGCTGGCCGTGTAGTGGTTGCCTACTCGCCAGTTTGCCCGTGGGGAAAGGGAGCTCGTCACGAAGGTGATCTCGATAACAGCCTCCTCGGTTAAAAGTGTTTGCTGTGCCCTGGTTTAGCAAAACCACGTCTAGGGTCGCAAAGGCTTCCAGAAGGGCTTAACCCTTGTTGATGGCATCAGAACTGCTGCCTTTGGTGATGTCACTGCCCCATTCTTGGGCCCATGCGTTGAAATCTCCTCCGATTATGGTAGGCTTGTGGTCTCTGGCATCGTCGACCAGTTCGTCCATGGCTGCTGCAAAGCTCTGGCGGCTCAGACTGGCTTCGCACGATGTTGGCCGCAACGGCGGCCTGCCACAGGACCATAGCACTGCTTTGCCCGACGAGCTTTGGACCCAGCAGCCATCTGCTGGGGATCTTTATGGTTCGCTGATGATGGCGACATCTGATCTCTGGTCACGTACCGACTGGGTGAGCAGGTCGCTGGCTCCTCGCAATGGTTCAGGTTTATTTAGTAAACGTTTGTTTCGTGCTTTCTCCTGGGCTGTGGGAGCCATTAGGCACCTGGCGCTGCCTGCTGCGTGTTTATGTGGCTGGCCCTTGGTAGCGCAATAGAAGCACTTGGCCTCATTGAGGCAGTCGCGTATCCACCCGCTTCTGTCCACTGTCCGCAGGCTTTTTATGGCGTTCTCCTCGAGAGCGACGCCGATTTGCCCTTTGAAGGCGTGTTGCAGGTCTTCCACCGTGGCCATTTCGTCCAGGTCCACTACTTCCAGCCTCGTCTGTTGGGTAAGTGCTCGTGCTTCAACCTTACCTTGTAAGGCCGTAGTAATGCTGTCTCTCAGCCGCTGCGTTTTCTCCAAGGTGGTGTCCTTGAGCTCTAGCAGGAGTGAGTAGGATTTCGGCGTAGGACATTTTTTCCTTGGGCGATTGTTATGGCATCAGCATCAGCCTTCCCTTGACTTCTATCCACTCATTTGGGGGATCTGTCTCTGTCCCCCGGGCTGCTTTTTGTTGTGCCTTTTCTGGCGCGTGGCCTCCCAGTCCTTTCCTTGGTTTTGGATGGTTCCTAGATGGCCTCTCCGTTTTCGCTCCGTTCTGTCGTGGGGACCACTGCGTATCCTGGTCTTGCTGTGAGACCCTCTCGATTCTCCGAGGATTGGCGTCGAAGCTAAAGAGTGCAGATTTTTGGAGTCTCACCACCTTCTGCGCCAGATCCTTCATGTCCTTGTTAAGGTAGCGTGCGTCCGTTAGCATTTTTGACAATTCCGTCGACCTTTCGACTAGAGTAGCGAGGATTGACCGCAGGTCTGTGTCTGCCTCCGTCCATGTAGTGTTCCTCTCTTCGACGGTGCCATTGAAGTCGAAGGGATTAACTGGGACTTCTGCTGGGGCTGAAACGGTCAGTATTGGCTGCTGCCTCACATTCAAGGGCTCCTTTAAGGGGGAGTCGGTCCCTAGGCCTAATTGAGCCATCTAATCGACCGCCTGCTCTCTGGGCCCCAAGGCGTCTGCCACTGCGGTGGGGAGCGCTGCAGGCTCAACCTCCGCCCAAAAGCCCGTTTTTCCTCCTCCTCCATATCTGCGGCACTTATTCAAAAGTTGGCGCCCAACTTCTAACCGTTTGGCCGATCTGGCAGCCCTTCGGCGCTCCGCTGCTTTCTGGCAACTCCGTGGGGGAAGCAACTCTGCACGATCAGCTGCTCAGTTAAGAAGCTCGAAACGAAAACAATCAGGATGAGTGAAATTGTTTTTATTTTTCTCCTACTAACGCAGTGGACGGTGGAAGGCGCAAAAAAAGTGGTTCGCACCCCCTCCCGAGTGTAGCACGACTGCCCGTGCCCCTGCAACCAGACGAGGTGTCGGCGAGATCAGCCACCATGCGCAGTACGTACCGCCGCAACAGTGCACTGTTCTGAGCCGCTTTCCTTTTGCTTTCCAGGTGTGTTACGGATTCTATGCGTTGACAACTCGGAGCTCGCATGAGAATACAACCGCACTTGGAAATAACAACTCAACTGTTTGTGTGTGTGTGTGTTTTTTTTTCCCATGGATACGCCATGGGGGATGGAAATCTTCCTGAAGATACCAATGGCCCGTGCCATTGGCATGCACGATTCCTTGCTCAAGTCAAGTCCTATGTACTAAAACCACCCCCACACAACAACACACCTCTCCCCCCTCGGGATCACCGCTAGGTATTGCTTCGCGGGGAGGGGGGCCTATTCTAGGCCGCTACGTGACGCTCTTTTTCGCATCGTCTCAGGTCATCCTGGATGCGCTTGATGAGGCTGTACACATGCTTCTGGTTTTCTTCCGATGCTGTTGCGAAATCTACCAGCGACTCCGGCGGGGGAACACTTCCCGTCCATGCTGCATATCGACTACATCTGTAGAGGACATGCTCCGGGTCTTCGACTGCGGTTGGGCACGTAGGGCAGTAGGGGCTCTTATCGTGCTTGAATTTGAAGAGGTATCCACGATAACCCCCATGTCCTGTAAGGAACTGGGTAGTGTGGTAATCCACCATGCCTCTGCTACTGTCGGTCCCCTCCTTCACGTTGCCGATCAGTCTGTGCGTCCATCTTCCTTTGCTGCTCTGGTTCCACCTGTCCTGCCATGTTTCGATGGAGCGTTGTCTCTCCATGTCAGGGATACCGTCCGCGCCGCCTACGCTTTCCTGCTCCTAGCGCCTTGCGTATATGGCTTGCATCTCCCTGGCCAGTATGTCCACTGGTAGCATTCCCGCCAGTACGAGTGCCGCATCCTCGGACACAGTCCTAAACCCGGATATAACTCTTAGAGCTGCTAGCCTGTACGGTGCAGCCAGCTTTCTCCTCAGGCTCTTGTTGTGGACCACTGTTGCCGCCCACACTGGTGCTGCGTAGAGCAAGATGGAGGACACTACGCTTGCCATAAGCCTTCGGCGTCCAGGCTTGGGGCCACCTACGTTGGGCAGGATACGAGAAAGGGCTCCCTGCATCCTCGCTGCTTTTTGAGCGGCATACTCCACATGCGGGCGGAAGTTTAGACGGTTGTCCAGCATCACTCCCAGATATTTGATCGCGTCTTGAGACTTTATTAGGTCGGCTCCTACTCGCACTTGTGGCATACTCCAGGGTCTTCCTGCTCGTGATCAGTATCGCTTCTGTCTTATGACTGGCCAAATCTAGACCAGCGCCTCGCATCCAACTGGCAATTGCTTCGATTGCTGTGTTGGCTGCGGCCTCGATTCCCTTGATCTCTTTGGCTACAACGACTAGTGCCAGGTCGTCGGCGAAGCCAATTAACTGGCATCCCGCTGGTAGCTGCAGTCTAAGCACCCCGTCGTACATTAAGTTCCACAGGAGCGGTCCAAGAACCGATCCTTGCGGAACTCCTGCCGTGACCTCGTACTCTGTCTCTCCTTCCTCCGTCTCGTACCCTAGCACCCTATTCGAGAGGTAGCTGGAGATAATTCTCAGCAGGTACCCTGGTACTCCGATCCGGCGCAAAGCAGAGTCAATGTTTGCCCAACTGGCCGAGTTAAAGGCGTTTCGGATGTCGAGCGTCACTACGGCGCAGTACTCCTTCGTACCCCACCTCCATCTTTTTCCCTCCATGGCCTTCGACGCTATGTTGACCACCGCCATAATAGCGTCCACTGTCGAGCGAGCTTTCCGGAAGCCGTATTGTGCCTCGGATAGAGCTTCGGTCTCCTCTGTGAACGCTAGGAGCCTGTTGTAGAGAACTCTCTCCAGCAGCTTTCCCACTATGGCTTGTTGCCGTTAGGCAGCAGAATGAGCCGATGCTGCTTCCACCGTTTCGGGAAATGTCCCTCAGCCAGTCAGCTGTTAAAGGCGTCGACAAAGAGTTCGGGTCGGATGGCCACTGCGAGCTTTAGGGCCCTGTTGGGAATTCCATCTGGCCCTGGCGCTTTCCTGTCCCCGACCCTCCTGGTAGCTTCGGTTACCTCCTCCTGGGCTTGGCTTGCCCTCTGTGGATGCCTGGGAAACAGTGCTGTCACTATATGTCGCAGCAACTCGGGGCATGTGGGTGTCGGTGCGCTTACTCCTCTGATCCTCTTGGTGACTACCTTGTATGCAGTGCCCCACGGATCAACATCTGCTTCGTCGCAGATGCGGCGGAAGCTGTCGCTTTTGCTCTTTTTGATGGCTACTTTTAGCTCCTGTTTCGCCATTCGGAATTCTGCTTGCCTATTTTCGAAGTCCTGGCGGCCTCTCGCTCGGTGGGCGCGTCTTCTCGTTCTGAGGCAGGCGCTCCTAAGTTCGGCAATCTCCTGCGTCCACCAGTAGCAGGGTGTTCCCCGTAGAGACGGCTTCCTCTTAGGCATCAATGCGTTGCATGCGTCAACGATCCGCTGCGTCAGTTCCCTTGCTGCGTACTCCGCTGAGTTGCCAGCTGGGCTCCACTCGCATTGCCTTATGGAGTCCGAGAAGGATGCGACGTCCAAGAGGCTATCCTTCCATTTCGGGCCCGTTAGTTTCGGCTTACTGCGACCTCTGTTGGGTCGTCCAAGCTCGAAGTGGATTGCCTGGTGGTCCCCCACTCTCTAGGTGAAATTCCTAAACAGGGAGCTGCTTAGGAAGGTCAGGTCTATTATTGAAGACCGTCCCACCCTGCAAAACGTCACCCTAGCTCCGTCGTTAGCCAGCCCAACATCCAGAGACGAGAACTGTTCCAACAGGCAGTACCCTCTTGTGTTGGTCTCTTTGCTGCCCCATTCTACGGCCCAAGCATTGAAGTCCCCTGCTATGACGAAGGGTGCCCTTCCGCGGGAGTCTTCAGCAATGTTTCCCAGCATGGCTTGGAACCGTGGCAGCTCCCAGCTCGGCGGTGCGTAGCAGCTGTAGAAAGTTACGCCGCTAAGTCTGGCTCGCACGAAGCCCTCCCTGGATACGTCAGTATCCAGTGGCGGGGTCCGCACGCCCCAGATCGCGGCCTTCCTACACTTGCTCTGTATCCATCCACTTCCTGGTACGGGTTTGTAGGGTTCACATACCAGGACCACGTCTGGTCTCCTCTCCTTGGTGTCCTGGCTCAGGAGTGCCTGGGCCGCCTCGCAGTGGTTGAGGTTTAGCTGTGTGCACCTCATGATAGCCGTTTAGCAAGTGCCTTCTTAAATAGAGGACACCTGCCACTGCCTGCGACATGCCTCCAGTCTCCAGTCTTGCCCTTGCAGATCATGCACTTAGGATCCAATTCGCAATCCTTGGCGAGGTGGTCCTCCTTACCGCATCTCCGGCACATCTTGGATCGGTCAGTCTCGCTCCTGCACTGCCTGGCCATGTGTCCAAACTCCATGCATCTGAAGCATTTAGTGACACTGACCCGTTCTCTAAGCCTGCTCGTTTTGCTCGTTTTTAACGGGATTGCTCGTTTTTAACGGGACGGGGGCGGCATCAGCATTAGCCCAGAAGCCATTTCAGCAGGATATCACTCCGCTTACTGAGGTTCCAGAATACTGACGGCGTCAGCCCAAAACGTCGATCCATGTATATGTCCAGTGTCCAATCCCCAGGGTCTTACTGGTCTCGACCCTGGTCGCCTTCTCGTGTCTGCAAACGCACCACGGATGTGTCGCCCGAGGATACCTGGCATAGTGCCGGAGGTCACGAGTTGCCTTTACTGCGTCAGAAAGGAATCGACCTGACCGCTACTAAGTTAGCCGTAATCAGAGTCTTTCCGCCTGCTAGAGGCACCTTTCTTTGCAGAGAAATCCCCTCGCCTTATCTGTTGGTCATTTACAACAGGGTATGACTGTCCCGCGTCGTCGAATTCCATGTAGGTGTCCAGTATCCTAATCAAGGCTGTACTGGTCTCGGCCTTGATGCCGTTTTGTCGCCTCTTGCGACCAGCAGCGGCTCGCTGTAGCTGTGCCTAATGGTAGGCTCCATTACCTTAGCACAGTCTGGCGCCATCTGTTGGCGGGGCACCGAACCCCCGTGTTTAGATCTGCCGTGTAGATCGTCGCCGTAGAATGCTAGCGCCATCTGTGGGCGCCTAGCCTACTTGTCTACATATCTATGCGTGCGCCACCTGCCGGAGCTCTACTATAGCTCTATGGTCCGCTTCCGAGCACTGGTCGACAGCTGACGTATAGATCAGCTGGCATGACTAGTACAATTTGGGAGCAGAACCAGACGGCACAAAGACCTCTGACCTGCAGCCTTCTGGTTCAAATCATCGAGCTCCTACCATTGCGCATTCATTATTGACGCACCGCTCGCTGACTACCGACGTTCCGCTCTGTCGCTCGTCCGCCAGAAGGTCCAGCGGGACCATGCCTGCTGCGTCTTCTGACACCGTCCGGAAGTAGTACGCAACTCGCAGAGCGCAGCGTCTGTATGTGCTTCTGCTGCCTGCACTGTACGAGGGCTCCCTCATTGCTGGCGCCCACACTGTCGATCCGTACATGATTATGGAGGTAACCACCCCGGCGATGAGCTTTATGCTGCGCTGTCGAGGTCCTCCTGTGTTGGCCATCATCCTGCTTATTGCTGCGGTTGCTGTGGCTGCCTTCGCGTTTGCGTATGCAAGGTGGGCCTTGAAGGATAGCCTTTGATCCAGCATCACCCCAAGGTATTTTACCGCAGGTTTCGTCACGATGGTGGTGCTTCCGACCCTCACGCATGTCTGCTCGACCTTCTTTCTGCTGCTTATAAGCACAGCCTCCGTCTTCTTCTCCGCCAGGGACAGTCCATTCTCTGCAAGCCAGGATACTATGCTTCCGACTGCCTCGTTGCATTTGGCTTCAGTGTCTCTAGTGTGCTTTGCTACTGTCACCAGTGCGATATCGTCAGCAAAGCCCACCAGAGTGCATCCTTCCGGTAGTGCGAGCCGCAGGATATCGTCATACATGACGTTCCATAGAATAGGGCCTAGAACCGAACGCCACCCGTGATGCCGTGTTGCTTTGCTCCCTCTTCCGTGTCATAGAGCAGGACTCGGTCTGTAAAATAGCTTTTCAGCGTTTTTATACAAAGATATGCCTCTCCTCGTCAGGGCTTCCAGTATGCTCCTCCAGCTGGATGTGTTGAAGGCGTTCCGTACGTCTAGCGTGCATACTAAACAATATTCTTTGGTGCCTCCAGCCCATCGCGATCCCGCAATGGCAGCTCTGGCCAGATCCGTTACCATTTTGATGGCGTCTGTGGTGCTTCTTTGTTTTCGTAACCCGAATTGCTGGTCGGAAAGGCCGTGGCGCTCAGCCAGTTCAGCCTCTAGGCGATTGCATATGAGCCTCTCAAATATTTTGCCCATGGTGTCCAGCATACATAGCGGCCGGTATGCAGATGGGTCGCTTAGCTCCTTGCCCGGCTTGGGCAGCAGGACAAGCCTTTGTCGCTTCCACGCTCGTGGCACTGTCCGTTCCGCTAGGCATTGATTGAACATCCGTGTGAATACGTCGGGGTGTGCGCTGATTAAGCATTTTAATGCCGCATTTGGTACTCCATCTGGTCCTGCCGCTTTGCCGTTCTTCAGCTTGGCTGTGACCTCTAACAGCTCTCTAGCGGTGATGGTGTTGTCCATTCGCTCAGTGACTTCCGTGATTTCCTCGTTCACTCCCTCTTGTAGTGGTGGTTGCCTGGGAAAGAGGGCGTCAACGATTTCCTTCAACTGGGTGGGGCACTTGGGCATAGGTTGTCTATTCAGCTTTCCCATGACCAGCTTGTAAGCTCCCCCGAAGGGTTCGGCATCTGCCGCATCGCAGAGCTCCTGGAAGCATTTGGCCTTTCTGCTTCTAATGGCATCTCTTAGGGCTCGCCGTTTGGCCTTGAATGCCACTCCATTGCTCACAAACTGCAGGGTGCCTCTTGATCGCTGATAGGCGCGACGGGCCCCACAGCACTCCCTCCTGGCTTGCGAGATTTGTTCGTTCCACCATGGTACAGGGCGGTGACAGCTTCCTCCGATCTTCCTTCCCTCCTTAGGTGCATCACATGCCGCTGTGACGGTCCTGGAGATGGCGCTCGCACATGCTTCTGCATCCCCGGTGGCTGTTAGTCTTCCTGCTGCAGAGAGGAGCGCGCCTCTGTCGAGTGTTTCTTCCTTGTAGCCTGTCTGAAGTGCTCTTTGGCTCCATACGGTATTCCTGGTGGCAGAGATGTCCGTCAGCACCGCTAGGTGGTCGCTGTGTGTGTACACGCTCAGTACTCGCCACTTCGCGTGGCGTGCGAGCTCCGGGCTTACAAATGTAAGGTCAATAATTGACTCCCGTCCTGCTCTGCTATTCGTTGGGGTGCTTCCTGTGCTGAGAAGGCAGACGTTCAGACTTGCAAACTCGTCTAGGAGCGATGTCCCACGGGGAGTATTCCTGGTGCTGCCCCAAGTCGTGGCCCAGGCGTTAAAGTCACCCGCTATTAGGACCGGCGATTTGTCTCGTGCGTCGTTGGCGATGTTGCTGATGATCTCCTCGTAATCCTGCTGCGTAAATCTTGGTGCTATTTAGCAGCTATACACAAATATTCCATTGTGCTTAGCTCTCACATAGTCCACTCTGGATGCCTTCGTGTTTGTTCGTGAAGGGCTCACTGAGCAGCGCTATGTCGATATTCTGCTCCAAGACCGTTTGCGCCAACAGATCCTGAGCAGCCCGGCAGTGGTTTAGGTTAAGCTGTAGTAACTTACCCATCAACCAGTTTGGATAGGGCCTTCTTATACTCAGGGCAGCTGCGGCTCAGGACCGAGTGGGCTGTTGAGCGGGTGTCTCCTGGTGTGCCAACGCATAGTATGCATTTTGGCGGGTTGTTGCACTGGTTGTGCTTGTGCCCCTCTCCTCCACATTTGTAGCAGGCGTCTCTTGACACAGGCCGCTTGGATCTACACCTGGCTGCAGTGTGTCCATAGGCCATGCACTTAAAGCAGCGGGTTGGAGCAATCCGGCGCCGCATGCGGCAGACAACCCAAACGACTCGCACCTTGCCAAGCTCGAGGAGCTTCTTTGCGAGTGCGGGCTGGAGGTTCAGGGTAGCTACCTGCGTGGCACCATATGCTTTCCGCATGTACAGCACTGCTCCTTGGGGTAAGTGGCCGCCGATCGCTGCAACTATGGCCTCCCATACTTCCTCGCCTGTCGTTAGTTCGTCGATGTCGAGTACTTCAACCGCGACTGTCTCCTGCATGGCGTTCACGGCTGCCTTGTCGCCAAGCGCTTCCTGTATGGCCGTCTGTAGCTCCTGGATGGCGGGGTCTGAGGGTTGCTGCATCCTGAGGAGCAGCTCGCCCGAGGCAGTCTTCCGGATGCCCTGAACCTTGTTTTTTAGGTTCTGGAGAGTTGGTGCTGCCTTGACCAGTTTGAGGATGTCGGCATATGATGCCCCCTCGGTGCATTTAACCAGCACTGCGTCTGGCCGGGCTGTCTTTTTGCGTTTGGCACGCCTACCTCTGACCTCACTCCACTTCTGGTTTGGGTCAGCGCTTTCTGCCTTGCTTATCGGGCTTTTGGTCGCCTCTTGCCGGATGGTGTCAGGTGCCGGATGGTGTCCTCCCTTCTCATTCATCTGATGTAGGAGATCGTCCAGAATTGCTCCCATCTCATCGATGTCTTGGGCGCTGGTCCTGCTCCTCTTAGGGGGGGTATTCCTCACGCTACTCGATGGAGAAGGGGGGACCTGCGGCCTCTTTGGGGTATCGGCGTCCTTTAGATCATCCTGTGGCGGCCCGCTGGCAAAGCTGAGCATCGAGCTTTGCTTCATGGGCTGCGCTGAGGCTGCTACTTGGCGTGGCGGTGTTCGGGCCACCTTTGAGGCTTTTTGGAAAGCCATTGCTCCGTTGCTGCTTGTTGTCATGCTGCTTGCTTCGCCGGCCAAGTGTGCCACCGGCAGAGCAAGGTTGGGGGAAATGATTGCTGGGGCCTCCAGAATTCCGCCAGCGGGTGGGAAGTAATATGGTTTGGATGGAGCGTAAACCGTATAAATGTTCCCGCCTAGAAGGTAGGCAGTACTTTCCTTAAGACAGGTCGCTGACAGAAGCTATCTGCTGTGGAAGCTACTGACTCTCCGCAGCGGACGCTGTCAAGGGCTGGCTGCTTTGACACCCAGTGCCCCTTCGCAGCACTGCTGTCGATCAGCTGGTAAGTGGCCTGCACTCTCCAGCCCTGGTGTACCAGTCGATCAGCTGCGATGCCTGGAGTGGAATGTGTGCAACCAAAGTAGAGACAAAAATAGGAAGACAAAAAGAGGTAGAAAAAAGAAAAGGCGGGAGCCTCCGGGCATTGAGTGGCAATTCAACGCACTCAAGGTGGGGCCTGGCACCCCTTGACCCCTTCGGGCGCCCGTGAAGGAACGACGAGCAGTCCGGATCCGGGGCCAATAGGTGTGTGGCTTGACTCTCCCAGGTGAGCACGCGGTGTCAACAAGCGCTTTTGGCTAATGTGTGGGTTTTTCCGCAGGTGTATTTCGCGATTTCGGTATTTTTTTGCAGAGCAGCTGTTTTTCGCGTCCGCACTCTAAAAGAAATTCACTGATTGTCGAATGTTTTTTTTTGTATTCAGGTTTTTATTTAGTAATTTACTTAACTATTTATCTAAACTATACAACTATGTAGATGGTGGCGATTGTAGGAAGAAGGGGCGATGCTGTACGGTACCGCTGCAAAGCATTGCTTCGCACAGCCGCTCTTCCTTAATCCACCGTCGTCCTTTCTCTTTCTGCTCCTCGGAGCTCCCGCATGATGCCAGCAGCAAACTGCGCTGTGAAGACCCATGCCTTAGGGTCCGAGACCATCAGGCGGACTAGTCCCTCTGCGCTGACTCTGGTGCCTAGTGCCACCTCCAGCCTATGCCTCTCGTGCGTGAAGCGATGGCACTCGAAAAAGACGTGGTGGGCGTCCTCCTCTATGCCTCGGCCGCAAGCTGGGCACCAGTCTTCGGTTTCATGCCCAAAGCGCTTCAGGTAAGACCGGAAGCAGCCGTGACCGCTGAGGATTTGGGTCAGGTGGAAGTCAACCTGCCCGTGCTTCCGATCTATCCACGCCTTAAGGTCGGGAATCAATTTATGGGTCCAGCGACCTTTCGTTGAGGAGTCCCACTACGCCTGACATCTGCGGATGCTCTCCTGCCTTCGTGCTTCCTTCGCCTCTCTCGTATCGACCTGTCCTGCTAGGGTCAGCTCATGCACCGCTGCTCTTTCCCTTGCCTGCTCCATAATCGGGATCAGACCCGCAATGACAAGGGCTGCGTCGTCGGAGACCGTTTTAAACGCGCAGACAATCCTGATGGCGCAGAGTCGATGCGTTGCCTCGGCACCTCGCATGTAGCTGGAGACGTTCGTCGCCTTCAGCCACGCCGGTGCAGCGTATAGCAGCTGGGATGAGATGACGCTCGTGATGAGCTTCCTCCTCTCCTGTTTGGGTCCCCTGGTATTGAGCAGAATGCGCGATAGGGCTCGGCATGTCTGCGCTGCCTTTGCATTGGCGTACTCCATGTGCTCCCTGAAGGAGAGCCTGGTGTCCAGCATCATCCCTAAATACTTTAGGGCCCTTTGTGATGTGATTTGGTGGCCACCTACCATCACTTTGGCTGACTCCACCTTCTTCCTGCTGCTGAACAAGACGGCCTCCGTCTTGTGCGCTGCCAGCTGCAGTCCCGCTAGGTCGAGCCACGTCTCCACGGCTTGGATAGCCTCGTTGGCCGCTGCTTCCGTTGCTACGAGGTCCTTGGCCACTACTGCGATGGCCGCATCGTCGGCGAACCCTACTATCGTAGTGCCTTCTGGTAGGTTCAGTCGGAGGACTCCATCGTACATCGTGTTCCACAGGAGCGGCCCTAGCACTGATCCCTGGGGCACTCCGGCGGAGACTTCGTACCTCTTCGTTCCCTCGCTCGTCTCGTACGACAACACCCAGTCGCTGAGGTAGCTGTCTATCACGCAGAGGAGGTAGTCCGGTATGCCTACCGTCCATAGCGCCTCTAACGTTCTTGCCCAGCTTGCCGTGTCTTGATGTCCAGGGTGACCAGCAAGCAATACTGCTTACTGCCTCCTTTCCATCGTGTGCCGCTGATGGCTCTCCGCTATGGTCACAATCTTGTGGATGGCGTCCAGCGTCGACCTGCCTTTGCGGAAGCCGTACTGGTTTGCCGATAGGCCTCCCGATTCTTCAATGGCTCGATTAAGCCTGCGTGCTATAAGCCTTTCGCACACCTTACCGACGCTGTCCAGTAGGCAGATTGGTCGGTATGACGAAGGCTCTCCTGGTGGCTTACCTGGCTTGTTTAGCAGCAGCAGTTTCTGCCTCTTCCACCTGGATGGGAAGGTACCTTCTTCGAGGCACTTGTTGAAGACCTCCACGAAGGCAGATGGCTGTAGTGCTAGTGCCACTTTCAGCGCTCGGTTTGGGGTTGCGTCGGGGCCAGGGGCTTTTTTCCTGTGTAGGCTCCTCCCGGCTTCCAGCACCTCTTCTTCCGTGACCTTCACTATGCCCGTGAACGGATCAGGGCGTATCCTCGGTCTTAGCCCCGTATGCTGCGCGCTTGGGAATAATGCGTGCACTATGGCCTCGAGCGCGTCGGGTTCAGTTGGCGCCTTGCTCCCTGCACAGAGCTTCTTCGCCACGAGCTTGTAGGCCCTGCCCCAGGGGTCTTTATCCGCCGAGTCGCAGAGCTTGAGGAAACATTCGCGTTTGCTGCTTCGTATCGCCTTTTTCAGGGCTTTCCTGGCGGACCCGTACTCTTCCAGTGCCGAGTCGAGTCGGGCCGTACGTCTCGCTCTCTGCATTGCTCGCCTGGCCTTCATGCACATTGTCCGGTGTCGTGCGATTTTCGGGGTCCACCAGGCAATCGGCTCGTGGTGCCTCGTGAACGGCTTACGCTGCCTCATACTCGAGTCGCAGGCCTCCTCCATTCTCGTGGCGAGAAGGTTGGCTGCCTCGTTGGCGCTTGCTCCAGGCACCTGGAGATCGCTCTGGTGTCGAGCGTGTCCTCGATGTAGGCCTTGCTCCTGCAGTATGTTCTGCTAGGTCTGAGGCGCTCTCCGATGGTGCACAGTATGGCTTCGTGGTCGCTTCCTGTGTACACATTTGCCATTTGCCACCTAGCTACGCGTGAGGGCGACGGGCTCGAGAACGTGAGGTCTATGATGGAGCCTCCGCTCGCCCTGCTGAATTGATTGTCGAATGTGTGTGTGTGTGTGTGCGTGTGTGTGTGTGTTGGAATGTGATTTAGTTTGAAGTCTCGGCATGAATGAAAAGTTACTCACAATCTATCACGGGATCGCTTGGGTTCTTCAAACCCTTAGCCTCCTCCATTGCACGCGCTTCGTACGAAGAAATGCGTATTAGTTGCTTGCTTCGGCGAGGTCGGGCTTAAAAATCCTGTGAAAATGAGGGCCAGTCCAGCGAGAACAACACACAAACGACGCACTTCACTTTGCATCCAACCACCAAACAATTAAAACTTTGCTGCCACGGAAAATACACGTGAACGTGTATTGCTAAATACAAAATATATGAACTCGATGCGGCAGCAAAATCAAGCTACCAGCCAAACGACAACTAGAAATTAAATTAATAAAAACATTTTTTTTTTTTTTGTGATTTCAACGCCTATTGGCGTTAGTGGTTGGTCTGTTGTAGCAGCGACCAGAAACGATGTATCGATATGTGCGAGACACTATCGATTATACTGCCACTTTCTAGTATTCATAGAGATGAGTAATTGGCAACGTGATCGAATTTGTATTTGTATTTTTCTCAAAGAGAGTAATTGGCCAAAAGAAAACTTCCAAGCCAAGAAACTAAGTTGATATGTTATATACACAATTACATTCGATGTGTTTTAACGACGCGAGATTAAAAGTCTAATTTAGCTTCTCTTACAAATTTCGCGAGTTCCCTCATATGTAGAAGGATATTTGCTTTAAACAATTCGTGCGTAGAGTTATAATACTTAAATATTTTAAATTTACGCCTTAGGGGCATGAGTCTTGTGCAGTTGAAAATCATGTGATTTGCAGATTCAGTTACGTTACATGTTGGACATAGGTCACAACTAACTATTTTGCATTTTTTCAAAAAAACGTTGTCATACGTATGATTTATCATGAGTCGATTCAGGAGTCTCATATCCTGAGCGTTCCATTTAACCTTCTTGTTCCAGGGTTCCCCTGGAACATTTGGAAATAAATCAAATAAAAAACCACCAGACAATGAGGAAGCCTCCTTGTAGTAGTCATTCCATATGGCGAAAACTCTTTTCTTGACCTCTCGACATGCTTCACCTAACGTATAGTTCAGCCCAACAAACACCCCATTTGAGATGGCAGATTTTGCAGCTTCATCCGCTTGTTCGTTTATTGGGATACCCATATGACCTGGCATCCAGTAGATGTCTACAGAGATTAATTCTGGCCATACCAGTAAGTTGTGAATATTTGCCACTGGATAGGCATCTGATTCTGCATTTTTTAACATATATATAGCTGCTAAACTAACCGTAAATATAGCTACTTTAGTTAGTCTTAGTCGCTTGGCAATGAGACAGGTCATGTTAATTGTAAATAATTCAGCCATAGCAGACGAAATTTTTATCTCTGATTTAAATCTATAAGTCTTTTTTCCGTTTACATCAATAATACCCATACCCACTTTACTATCACATATTGAGGCATCACTTGCAAAGATATGGTACTTTGTTTCCTTGAGATTGTGGAGAATTTCATAATACATAACAAGAATTTGTTCTTTAGGTACATTTAGTTTGTTTATATTAAAAGGTTTACTATGTAGATGCAGTCTTTTATTTGCAGTGAAAGTCACTGCTGGTTTGGTCATTTCAAAAATATCCCTAAACTTG